TGGGGTATCCGAAAAAGTACAAGACCTAAACCATCAGAACGAAAGGTCAGCAGTCAGTACGTTCTGACTTTCGAGCCAATTTCGCTGCTTGGCTCTTGCCCTGATGTGACCGTGGCTGGGGTAGTGAAATAGTAGTAGGGGTTGTGCAAGTGGCACAGGAAATGCACAAAGGCTACAACAAAATTCAACCAGAATGTTCAACTTTGTGAGCTGATGATTTGACAATAAATCGACAAACAATTGCAGCGCGTGATGTTTTAAAAGGAGTACAAACATAGATTGACAGTTTGACAGTTTGACTTAACTTCGAAGTTTAACCAGCACGCTACTACTGCCAGTTCATTGGTCCATCTTACTACAACGCCCATGGCAGACGTTTGCCAGGGTCACTGGGTCGACGTTTTGGGGGTTGAGGTTGCCCTACATTCAATCAAGTCTTGCAAGACTTACGATGTAATGTCTCCAGGACCCTCAAAATCGTTCAGACACCTCACGACTCATGACCTTCTTGAGTTTCAATTGAAGCATTAACCGTGCAAACATACAGCCACTTGTGGAAGGGCCGTATACCATGACCACCACTCGCCTGTAGTTACTCACCGGGTCACCACAACCATGATGATACAATAAGCATCATCAATCAATCACACAGCCGCTTGATGTTCAGAACCACCACATGATTCCAAGCTAGAACAATAGGAGTGATATGGAAGCATGGAAATGAAGACTGCGAGAAAGCGACAACTAACCTGTATGAACTATAAATCAATCATTGAGCAACCAATCATCAGCAACGACAAACACAGTGTGTCCCTTCTTTGCCTGCTGCATCATGAATTGAAAAATGTTTCGTTTATTGGTTTATTGTTATTTATCTAGCTGCTAGCTGTTTTATACTATAAAGCTGTTGTGCTTTTAATCTTTGCATCTTCCTTTTTTACAAATATAAATATAAAACATATACATATAAATATAATATATTACATCGATTTATTTCTTTATTTATGTACTTACCTACTTATTGACTTACATATTTACATATACATATATATATATAATACTCATTTGAATTTAGATACGTATTTATTTATTCATGCGGCCGGCTGCCTAAATAGAACGGTTTCCAAAACACAGAAGATCCAGGGGACAGAAGACATAAAACTTGTAGGCAGTCCTGAATTGAAATCACCGAGCGAATCATGTCAGCTCGCCATTTTTCGGGATATCCAGCAGCTTCGTTTCCATCGCCTCAACTGCAGCGTCTTCTTCTCCCGGGACTAAGCTTGAAGAACTTTGCCCGGCCCTAGGCCAAACCCCCAAGCTAACTAGCTTCGGGCGGCCCGCCTAAGTGCCAAGATTCCACGCCAAGTTTCCTTGCGCGGTCCGCGCCTGTGGTTTCCGCCCTTGAGCCACGATTCCGGAAGTCGCCTTGCACACCAACATTTCCCAAAAATTCAACCGGGCCATGCCCTAGGGCAGGCCACCCTAGGCACCTGACCCTGCGATCTGACGCTGGTGGGCGGGCCGTGAGCCTGACACTGATCAGCCTGGGGCAGGCCGCCCTGGGTCTTGACACTGCTCTGATGCTTTGGCGGGCCGCCCTAGGCTGACCTCTCGCAGGCTGTCCTAGCAAGCTGCCCTGGGGCGCGCCTAAGGCTGAGTGAGAACAGTCTAAGGCGGGCCGCCCTAGGCTCACCTCTTGGAACCCCCGGCTTGCGCTCAGTGAGAACAGTCTCTAGGGCGGGCCGCCCTAGGCTGACCTCTGGAACCTGGCCCTAGGGCAGGCTGCCCTAGGATGGGCCGCCTTAGGCTGAGTGAGAACAGTCTAGGGCGGGCCGCCCTAGCCTGACCTCTTGGAACCTGCCCCTAAGACAGGCTGCCCTAGGGCGGGCCGCCCTAGGCCTGGCCCTAGGGCAGGCTGCCCTAGGATGGCCCGCCTTAGGCTGAGTGAAAACAGTATAGGGCGGGCCGCCTAGGGTGACCTCTTGGAACCTGCGCCTAAGACAGGCTGCCCTAGGGCGGGCCGCCCTAGGCCTGGCCCTAGGGCAGGCTGCCCTAGGATGGGCCGCCTTACGCTGAGTGAGAACAGTCTAGGGCGGGCCGCCCTAGGCTGACCTCTTGGAACCTGCCCCTAAGACAGGCTGCGGGCCGCGCTAGGCCTGGCCCTAGGGCAGGCTGCCCTAGGATGGGCCGCCTTAGGCTGAGTGAGCCGCCCTAGGCTGACCTCTTGGAACCTGCCCCTAAGACAGGCTGCCCTAGGGCGGGCCGCCCTTAGGCTGAGTGAGGGGCCGCCATAGCCTGACTTCTTGGAACCTGGCCCTAAGGCAGGCTGCCCTAGGGCCGCCCTAGGCTGATTGAGAACGGTTTAAGGCGGGCCGCCCTAGCCCAACACCTGGCGTGGAATCCTGGCCCGGAATGCTATTCCGGAATCTTACTCAGGCCGCGCCCGAAGCTGGTGGAGGTTGGCCTAGGGCCAGGTTACTTGGGTCTTCAAGGTCAAGCTGGGGCAATGTTCTTCAAGCTTCGTCTCGGGAGAAGAAGACGCTGCAGCTGAGGCGATGGAAACGAAGTGCTGGATATCCCGAAAAATGGCGAGCTGACATGATTCGCTCGATGATTTCAATTCAGGACTGCCCACAAATTTTGCGTCTTCTGTCCCCTGTATCTTCTGTGTTTTGTAAACCGTTCTATTCAGGCAGCCGACCGCTATTCAGTCATATATATATATATATGTATGTGTGTGTGCGCGTTAATAAATTGAAGAAATGCAGCTAGATAAATAAAACATAATTCAATAAGCAAAACATTTTTCAATTCATGATGAAGCATGCAAAGAGGGGGCACACTGTGTTTGTCGTTGCTGATGATTGGTTGCTCAATGATTGATTTATAGTTCATACAGGTTAGTTGTCGCTTTCTCGTAGTCTTCATTTCCATGCTTCCATATCACTCCTATTGTTCTAGCTTGGAATCATGTGGTGGTTCTGAACATCAAGCGGCTGTGTGATTGATTGATGATGCTTATCGTATCATCATGGTTGTGGTGACCCGGTGAGTAACTACAGGCGAGTGATGGTCATGGTATACGGCCCTCCCACAAGTGGCTGTATGTTTGCATGGTTAATGCTTCAATTGAAACTCAAGAAGGTCATGAGTCGTGAGGTGTCTGAACGATTTTGAGGGTCCTGGAGACATTACATCGTAAGTCTTGCAAGACTTGATTGAATGTAGGGCAACCTCAACCCCCAAAACGTCGACCCAGTGACCCTGGCAAACGTCTGCCATGAGCGTTGTAGTAAGATGGACCAATGAACTGGCAGTAGTAGCGTGCTGGTTAAACTTCGAAGTTAAGTCAAACTGTCAAACTGTCAATCTATGTTTGTACTCCTTTTAAAATATCACGCGCTGCAATTGTTTGTCGATTTATTGTCAAATCATCAGCTCACAAAGTTGAACATTCTGGTTGAATTTTGTTGTAGCCTTTGTGCATTTCCTGTGCCACTTGCACAACCCCTACTACTATTTCACTACCCCAGCCATGGTCACATCAGGGCAAGAGCCAAGCAGCGACATTGGCTCGAAAGTCAGAACGTACTGACTGCTGACCTTTCGTTCTGATGGTTTAGGTCATGTACCATCACTTGTTATTTGGATGTTCTTTGTTTTTGGGGGAAAACATGTGGTAACTTTAGCACCTGCATGGATCGCCCCCTGTTATGATATGATACCTGATGAAACTGCAATTTGCCAACGCTTGTTTTCTGAAGAAACATATGGTAGATTCAGCAAGTGAAAGGGTCTTCCAGTGTTATGGTATAATGCCTAATGGAACTGAAATTTGCCCAAAAAAGTTCTGAACTGAAGAAACATGTTGTAAATTCAGCAAGTAAAAGGGTCTCCCAGTGTTATGGTATAATGCCTGATGAAATTTAACTTTGTCCCCACGAAGTATTGAAGGTCTCACCCAAACTATTTGATCATGGCCATAGATTACATTGGTTTTCATCACTTTTTAAAAATTCAAGTTTACTTTTTAACAAAATCAGTTTTACTTTTAGCTAGATCTCAACATGTAGGGGGTGCTTGAAGCTAAAGTTGGGCCACCTAAAACTAAATTCTGGCCACCCAAAACTAAATTCTGGCAAACATTTTGTATGTGTTTGATTTTTGGTTTGGGTTGATTGAAAACAAACCTTTGGCTGAGTGAAAACTAAATTTAGGGCCAAAAATACAAGAAAAATGAGGCAAAATATTCCTTATAGCAACTTTATGTTTTTTTTGCATTTCAATTTTTGGCTGAACCATATGCTGTGTATGCCCATCAACCTATGAATCTACCATACCCCTAGTGCAGACAAAGGGTTGCCGCCCTAGTTCAACTGGAACGACTTCAGAGGTGGTTATGGACATCCCTAATCAAACATATGGGCAGGCTCATTGGTTGAGTAGGTCAAAATCAAGGCTTGTGACCAACAGAGGGTATGATTGCGATATGATTGGGTATATTCTGGGTCAGCCGGCTGGATCTATACATGTGGACGTATACTCACCAGCTAGTTTGTAGGACACCATTTCAATTGGATGATCCTGGAAGTAAGGCATGGTATTAGTTGATCTTGGTTGTTTGGTCCATTGGGTATGTGACCATTTGCTATCCGGTATCGTCCGGGTGTTTTTTCCCAATGGAACTCTAAAGGAACCCATGGTTGTATTAGCTTTAGTTTTACCAGCCGCATTCCCGGGGTGTTTGTGTGAAAAACCTCGTTGCAGTACTAGCCAATCAACCATAAGTTGACCAGAGATCAACTAGTTTGGAGGAAACATCAGCTGTTTGCTTGCATCAAATTGGAAGGTTCAACAAAAAATAGCCAGCAAGTCTAGGGATAGTCACTAGTGAAGTGGCTTCCTTTTTCACGATATTTTCAAGAAACCCGCTAGTTTTACCGTACGAGGAAACCACACTTTTCAAACAACAACGGCACGGTGACTTGTCGTCACAGGAAACTTTGAGACAATCGAGTCGCTCCTGGGCAATCAAATGGAAGAGATATACATGCAGTTTCTTGGTTCAGTGGATGTGTGATGTGTTCAGCTGGGTACAAGAAGGGTGTGCGTTGTTGATTGGTTAAAATACTGTAGGGGGTTTTTGAATGCTATAGACTGAACGAGTTTAACCGGATACCAGGATATTGGCTCAGAAATTTTGGCTGGATGCGACCCCCACCTTGTTGCACTTGAGACATGCCAACATCTTCATATGGGGGTTTCGATGGTCATGGGGGTACCGCAATAGCTGGATATGTTTTAATGGAAAATCTTATTAAAATTGATGATTTGCGGATACCCCTAATTGAGGAAACTCTCATGTGGCTATGGTTATGGATCAATACCTATAGAATAATTACCATTTTGTTTGGATGAACATCCATTACCAATTTGTTTGATGTTTACCCGTGTTTACCAGAGGTAGAGAGTTTTTTGAAGTTGTGCCTCCAATCTTTTGGGGACTGTATCTGACGTTTTATGATTCGACGGGTGAAGGTGTATAACTCCAATGGCGGAATTTGGATGGTTTGTTGCATATATATCATATATAGTATAAGATACAGTCTAGTATCTATAATATTGTTTGTGTAAGTGAGCAACTAATTCTAGCAAAGTCAAATTTCCGTTGGCTGGCACAAGCATAGTTTCCTGTCAGGAAGTGCCCAAAGTGCGGAGTTTTTATGCCCATTCCTGCTTCAAGCACTTGAGATCACAGACAAACTAGTATGATAGATGTGGAGGTTTCCTGAAATAGGGGGTACCCCGGAATTAATGGTTTTTAATGCACAATCCTATTAAAATGATCTAACATTGATGATTTTGGGTACCCCCCATTTCAGGAAACCTCATATGTATACATATGGTATCTACAATGTTCTTTGGTAACAACTCGTTTCCATGTTCCAAGGTTACAGCTGCATTATGCCACAGCCATCCGTTTGTTGGCTCACCGTGATACCACTGCGCGCAAGTACCAGGAGGTCATATGGGACATGGGGAAGCAGCGCGTGTTGAAGCAGCCAGATGCTGCGACCAGTAGCTATATATAATACATATATATATATGTATATATATACACATATGCATAATACATACATATATATATACACATATGTCCTCCGGTTCTTTAAAGTAGCTATGGATAAATGTCCCATGCGTATGATTTATGATGATTTACGTATCAACAATTGTGATTTTCCATAGCTATGTTAAATAACCAAAAGGCATATATATTGATATGTATATATATATATATATATTCAATACACAAAACACAAATCCATTTGCCCCACTTCCCAACGGCTGCAAGTCCTCTTCATTGATCCGTTCCGTCCCTTTTTGGGCCAGGAAAATGAGAACCTCAGATCTCAAGTGGAAGCCTTGAAGACCCGAGATCCACGAGACGCTGGGGAAATTTTTAAAACTTTTTTGGGATACACTTAATGAATGGGAAAAACTTTTTTGTTTTTTGACTTACCTGACACCTGATCATAGTTATTGGGTTTGGCTAGAAATAGTGGACATGAACAGACACGACGGTTTATGGCAATTTGTGGGAAAATGATGGTAAACCTGATACATTCTGGAGGTTTCCCCATGAATTTCAGACAAGCCCATGTTTGGTAACTTTTTGAGGAAACCTGTTTTGGGGTTTCCTGATTTCTGGGGTAGAATAGTCGGACCCTTTGTCGGTCAATGACATTGCCCATCCGTGACATGGTCTATTTGTATCCCCTACATTTGACAGGGAACCCCAAAAATATGCTTTCGCATGTAACTTTCTTGTTGGATCTTGCCAGTTTGTTCCATTGTTTTTTTTTGGTGTCCTATGGTCATTCTCTTTGGGCTTCCAGGTTCCATTTTATTCCATCCAAGGAGAGAGATCTGAAGAATATGAAGCTCATGAACACGCAGATCAAGCTCTACAAGGACATTCCGTGCAGCAAATCTGGAACTGTTTGGTGCTTTGGAACATGTTTTATTTTCCCATATATTAATATCATATGTTGGGAATAGTAACCCCAACTGACTTTCATATTTTTCAGAGGGGTTGGTTGAAACCACCAACCTGTGGAACATCTGAATAAATGACTTGAGGATATCACCAGAGTATGGCTGTGACATTTGTTTCGTGGTTCCTGGTGATTGAACCATCTTGGAGTTCAATTGGGAAAGGCCGAAAGGCAAAATTTGACTTGAATCTAGGGAAATCTGAAATTTATAGCCGCAAACATCCGCAAACTACCCTAAACACCATGGCAGAAAGAGGCAACCAAAACCTGGAGCACAATTTGGGGACCAGCCCTATTGATGATGCGTCTTTTTCTTTGGCAAAAATGGCAGCACTGGGTTGGCATAGCTTTCTATGTGTTACAGGTTAGCAGAAAGCCACCATGGGTTGAAGTGATGTTCGACCAAGTCTGGGAACGAAGCAACTGCTCATAACTGCTCCTAGCTCCCCCTTCCAGGACAAATACCTAGATCGTCGCTGGGCATAGAAGCGAGGAACCTGTGTGAAATTTCTTTGGGGTCTGTTGTGGCAACAGCCCAAACGAATAGAACACATTTCGATACCCTCCCAGAGCATGTTGTGGACCGATGTATGTTTCCAAGCTTTTATCCACGCTGGGCCAGCTGTAAGTTGCTTTGAATTTTTGAATCCCAGTAACTGCAGATGTATTTGCGTATGTATATATATATATATACGCCATAAAACCACAGTTAACCTGGTTATAAAACCAACTTTTAGCTATTGACTTCTAGTGTTTGAAACGCCCCAGCTGCAGTAAAAGTGCCAACATCCAGATGCCCCAGGGCCGAGATATGCGATGGAACAATGGAACATGGGGTTTATAAACCCTGTTAACCTATGGTTATCTATGGTTTATGGCTGTTTATGGCTGTTTATGGCTAAGTTGGTGTAACCTAAGATGTTAGTTGGTTCGTGTTGGTTCACTACTTCGATCTATTTGCCATGAACCGTAGAGCACCACCTTGTAAGTCCCTTTTTTCCAATCCCGGTGATGATGGTGATGCTCAAGCGCCACAGGACGTTAGTTCTGGCGCGTCACACGATGATGGTAAACCCTATTTAGCTGTCACTATAATCAATACAACATCACCATTTAGCTTGTCAACATCACCATGTTTCACCATGTTTGCTGCTTCAGAAAATCGCAGTTTCTGCGGGTCAAAATCTGTCAGCTGAATCATCCAGTTGAATCCCATGAAACTCCCAACTTTGGATTGCTCGTTGAATCCTCTACTTGGTGGCCCATCCCACTTAGTAAGTGGGTTATAACCCCAGTTATAAATGGGATAAGTAGGGTTAATCCACTTATAACTGGGGTTATATCCCACTTACTAAGTGGGATGAGCCACCAAGTAGTTGTTTTGTTGGCCTTTTGAACATCACAAGATAACCGATCTGGTTATGACTAACATAGCCATGGTATAGATGACCCATAAAAATAGACGGTTTACCTTTTTTAAAAATGGACCGACATTTTCCATGGCTATCTTAGTCATAACAAGAGGGTATATCCCACTAATATTCCCATGATTTTCCCATATAAAACCATATAAAACCTCCATTTCTGGTGGATAAACCTCCATTTTCCTATGGTTAATGAACCAATCAACCAGCAAAAAACATATGACCAGCAAGGCCACCAATAACCAGGTGACCGGGTGGCCCGGGCGATCGAGCTGGAGAACTTCGAGTTGCGGGAACAACTCAGCGCCATGCAGCAGGTGTCCAGCAGCAGGAATGACTTGGTGCAGTTATGGCCCTTTAGCAGGTATAGAATATATAGAATATATAATCCCATTGATAGAATATATAACAATAGAAGTAGTAACACAATTCTATAAATGGGGTTTTGTTATTACATGGGTGTATAAGTAATAACAAAACCCCATTTATAGAATATATAGTCCCATTTATAACCAGTTATAACTGATCAATGGCCATAACTGTGGGTCTCTGTTATTGGTTACTATCGGTTATTGTTATTCAATAGTCTCAAAAACGGTTATGAATGGTTATTCAGTGATTAGAAAAAATCATGGTTGTTTTATCAGGTTTCTTATTAATTGAATTGACGATTTATTAATGGTTTTACAAAGGTATTCACTGGTTACTAATGGCGAATGATTAGTTGATGGTTATTAGTGTTTAACTGATGATTTCGACTTGTTAATTGTTGATTATTGTCAACGTAGCAAACCAAATAGTAAAGCTACCACCATTTGGGGATGGGGCTTACCACCCATCTGTGGTGATTTTGGGGATTGTTTATGAAATTGGGTTTACCACAGGTACTAACCAGTTATATATTGTTACCGTTTTGGAAACCAGTCAATGATCTAGTGATTTAAACACTTTGAAACGTGTTATTGGCAATTCTTCTGAATATAAGAATATATATATATATTTTAAACAGTAATCATTCATAGTTGGTTTAATTAGCTCCCCAGTTGATACTGTAGATAATAATTTGCTAACTTGCTATTCAATGCTTATTTTCAACCATTAATATGTGGATGACTGAGTTGCTTGAGTCCACTGGGGGGCTGAATGGCGGATTTATCGGAGTAAAAAAGGGCTGAAACTAACATAGCATAGCTATTGAAAATTGCCATAGAAATAGTGGATTTACCCATTAATAGCATGGTGATTTTCCATGGTTATGGGACAGTTTACCAGAGGGTAAACATATCCCAACCGGATAAACGGGATAGTTTTCATGGTGCATATGTAGATTGGTGGATAAACATATCCCAATACACCATATCTCAAGATAAACATATCCCTATCTCAGAATTCCATGACCGGATAGATTATATAACCACCTCGCGACTTCACTGGAATGATGAGAATCGGGCCCGGGATACCTTCTGGTAATTTGCTACATAGCTATTGAAGCCATTTATAGTTGATTTACCCATTAAAAATTGTGATTTTCCATAGCTATGTTAGCTTACCAAAGGGTATTACAATTCAGCCAGTTATACCATTAAAAATAACATTGATTTACCCATTAAAACTTGTTATTTTCCATAGCATGTTAGTTTACCAGAGGGATCCAGAAGGTAACTATCCCAGAGATGTCTGGGCCAGGTTGGCAATGCCTATGCCCTTACTGGCGGGCAGGCCGGGGCTGATGGCATCACCAACGAAATCATGGTGGATGTGGGGGTAAATATGGGACCGTACAAAGTTGTTTTTTTCTTAAATGGTTTTTGATACATTGGATCCTATTAAATCCTTTTTTTCGTGTTTAAGTCGGTTAAATCATGTTAAATCCGTATGTTTCATGTTCAAATGCATATCATTCATGGGTAGCCACCTTTTGTTTGCAGCTTTTCGATCCACTTCTGCAAGCCTCATCTGCAGGTGTCGCCCAGCAACCCGACCCACGTGCTGTTTCCACCCGACGTGACGAGTCCTACGAGCCCCACTGGGAAGCCGGAGATGTTGTATGGCGGCAGCCCCAACCACGCAGCTCGGCAGATGAGACCTGGTAACGTCAACCGATAAATAAAGCCTCAGGCTGTTTAATTGGGGTATCATTTAAGTATCAGATTGTGACATATTATGACTATTGGGGAAGTACCCCCCTAATAAACTATGGTTTCTTAATCCGGGGTTGACATTATAATGGTGATGATGTTGGGAGGGTCGATGGCAAGAAATGGTGTCGAACTTGTTCCAGGCCTCCAGAGGTTCCCGACAAGTTGGTGATGGCCAATGGATCAATGGGAAATCACCCATCTTGTTTGGTGGTTTTCTCAGATGTCTATTGATTTTGCAGCTATCCAATTATATAAACCCCAAGTTTGAATGGTTAAATCAACATTAAATCGCCATGAACTTCGATGAAGTCAGCATTTTACATCACCATTTTCCCAGCAAAAGCAGCTATTTTGGATGACACCAAAGCTTCCCCCGGGCAATCCGCGCCCCCAAACTCCTCAGCTCAGGCGCCAACGACCACTCCACTGGACAGGTATGGGCCCCATGGGCAGCAGCACCAGGATTGGAGGATTTACGATCCAGCAGATTCAATGGAGTTTCATGGGGATATCATTTTGATAGAACGGGATTTTCATGGGGATGCAATCCGGGATGCACCGGGATTTATATAATTACGATTTTGAATTAAAAAAAGATGTGTTTTTGGATTTATGTGGGTTTGATGGGGTTGGTGGTGCACCAATGTTGGCTAATTTGGTTTACAACTAGTATACCTAGAATTTATGGTGATTAAAGCCATAGTCAGATGTATTTAGAAAGAAACTGATAAGTGATGGTGGCACGACGCTCGAATGAATTGATTACGGCAATAATATTATTATGGGTTTCCCGGGAGCCTCTACCAATTCTTACCATACATTACCTTCCTAAGTGAAAACATGTGTGGTTGGCGATTGGAAACAGTATCACGATCCCCAGTAACTTTTTATTTCAATTCTTCAGGGGGGGTTTTAACCACCAGCTATAGAATCTATAGAATCTGGTGATTTCTCATGATGAACTGGTGATTTGACAAGGAATATGTGTTTCATTATTATTATTATTATCATCATCGTGGCAGGCGTGGCACTTTGTGACATTCCAACCTGTTTGATAACGTGTCAAAAATGTCGAAATTGGAGGACGTCTCGCACGAAATGCTCGTTCTGCTGCGCCCACCTGTCTCGTCTCGAGTCTTTGGTTTTCCAGTGGCGTCGCCGTGTCTATGGGGGAAGCTGCAAAACCTCTCCTTTTCGAAGGTTTCCAAGCAGATTGTCATGCCGTTTTGCGTGGCAGGCGTGGCACTTTGTGACATTCCAACCTGTTTTATACCGTGTCGAAAGTGTCAAAATTGGAGGAAGTCTCGCACGAAATGCTCGTTTTGCTGCGCTCACCTGTCTCGTCTCGAGTCTTTGGTTTTCCCTGTGGCGTCGCCGTGTCTATGGGGGAATTTGATAACGTGTCGAAAGTGTCAAAATTGAAGGACGTCTCGCACGAAATGCTCGTTTTGCTGCGCTCACCTGTCTCGTCTCGAGTCTTTGGTTTTCCCTGTGGCGTCGCCGTGTCTATGGGGGAAGCTGCAAAACCTCTCCTTTTCGAAGGTTTCCAAGCAGGTTGTCATGTCGTTTTGCGTGGCAGGCGTGGCACTTTGTGACATTCCAACCTGTTTTATACCGTGTCGAAATTTCTTTTGTGTGGCTGGCGCAACAATGCGCTCCACACTTACACTCTACACTCCACACTCCTCACTCCACACTTTACACTCCACACTCCACACTCTACACTCCACACTCCACACTCTACACTTTACACTCTACACTTTACACTTTACATTCGTCACTCTACACTCAACACTCTACACTCTACACTCCACACTCCACCACACTCCACACTTTACACTCTACACTTTACACTCTACACACTACACTCCACACTTCACACTTTACACTTCACGCTTTCCACTTTACACTCCTCACTCCACACTTTACACTCCACACTCCACACTCTACACTTTCCACTCCACACTCTACACTCTACACTCCACACTCCACATTATACACTTTACACGCCTAACTCCACACTCTACACTTTACACTCCACACTTTACACTTTACACTTTGCACTTTACACTCCTCACTCCACACTTTACATTTCACACTCCACACTTTACACTCCACGCTCCGAACTTTACACTCTACACTTTACACTCTACACTCTACACTCCACTCTTCACACTTTACACTCCACGCTTTCCACTTTACACTCCTCACTCCACACTCTACACTCCACACTTTACACTCCACACTCTACACTTTACACTCCACATTGCACACTCTTCCCTCCACACTTTACCCACTGCACACTCCACACTCCACACTTTACACTCCACACTCCTCACTCCACACTCCACCACACTCTACACTCTACACACCACACTCCTCACTCCACACTCCACACTTTACACTCCTCACTCCACACTCCACACTCTACCCTCCACACTCCACACTTTACACTCCACACTCCACACTCCACACTCTACACTTTACACTCTACACTTTACACTCTACACTCCACACTCCACACTCTACACTTAACACTCCACACTCTACACTCCACCACACTCTACACTTTACACTTTACACACTCCACACTCCTCACTCCTCACTCCACACTTTACACGCAACACTCCACACTCTACACTCCACACTCCACACTCTACACTTTACACTCTACGCTTTACACTCTACACTCCACACTTTACATTTTACACTCCACACTCCACACTTTACACTTTACGCTCCTTTCTCCACACTCTACACTCCACACTCTAAATTTTCATACCCTCAAGTTGGAGGGTTCTAGAATGCCCCCCCCCCTGGGGATAAACACGGAGGGTTCTAGAATGAAAAATTTTCATTGTAGAACCTCCGGTCCCGTAAGCATTGTAGAACCTTGGAAGCTTCTATAATAGCATATGATGATATATGGTGCAGGTTTTGTGCAGGTATTTGTGATCCCTAGTGAGCCGGTGGTTGAAAGCAATTTGCCAGTTTGATCCTCCTGTTGAAACTATGGTTTTGGTGATTTGCAAGGCTCGATTGCACTATGTCGCAACAATATTGCCGAACCAATGCCATTCGGCACAAAAACCCAGAAGGATTTTATACAGATACACGGTAGAAAAATCGTAAAATCACAGTTCAGTTTGTTTCTTGATCTCAGTACATGGTAAGAACATTTCTGACTGGGGGAACTTGTGGGTTCAGCTCAGTTTTGAAGTGGTTAGCTGTACCTTTACCTTTGCATTCACCCCAACAATGCAGGGTTTTTTTGAGTTATTTTTTGCATGTTTGCTTCTTTTGCCGTCACCTGAGGCACACATAAAGTGGCTTTTGCATGTTGTGTCACAAGAGGCTGCAAAATCCCGCGTCGAAAATGTGCGTGCATTTGCTAGAGATTTGCATGCATTTGGGCTGTTCTTTTGATTTAATTCCGAAAAGGCGTGGGCCAAATATTGTCTAGCTCCACATCTCTGAACGAAAGGACCAATAGGTGAAGTGAGCGGCAAATTGGTAGGTAGAAAATTTCCCCACTGGAAACAGCTGTAGTGACACACAAACGAATTTCAGGGATAATCAACTCAGCTAAAACTGTGCCTGCCATCTTTTGTTCTTCGACAAGTAGACGAATGCCTGTGCAACAAATGAACATATCTAAGCTATCTAAGCTATCTAAGCATACAGCAGTTCTAAAATGGTTTCCCCTTGCAGTAGCTGGTATTTCACACGTTTGGCCAAGCAGGAAACCATTCCAGAACCCTTCCCAAAGATAAATACCTCCAGGGGTAGGTAGGCAGGTACAACCCAATGCTCAGCTAAAACTGTTTCTGCCATCTTTTGTTCTTCTACAAGTAGACGAATGCCTGTGCAACAAATGAACAAATGAAAGTTACCTAAGCATGCAAATGTTCTAAAATGGTTTCCCCTTGCAGTAGCTGGTATTTCACACGTTTGGCCAAGCCGGAAACCATTCCAGAACCCAATGCTAATGAATTTCAGTGACAATCAAGGCAGCTAAAACTGTTTCTGCCATGTTTTGTTCTTCTACAAGTAGACGAATGCCTGTGCAACAAATGAACAAATGAAAGTTACCTAAGCATGCAAATGTTCTAAAATGGTTTCCCCTTGCAGTAGCTGGTATTTCACACGTTTGGCCAAGCAGGAAACCATTCCAGAACCCTTCCGAAAGATAAATACCTCCAGGGGTAGGTCGGCAGGTACAACCCAATGCTAATGAATCTCAGTGACAATCAAGTCAGCTAAAACTGTTTCTGCCATCTTTTGTCCTTCTACAAGTAGACGAATGCCTGTGCAACAAATGAACAAATGAAAGTTACCTAAGCATGCACATGTTCTAAAATGGCTTCCCCTTGCAGTAGCTGGTATTTCACACGTTTGGCCAAGCAGGAAACCATTCCAGAACCCTTCCCAAAGATAAATACTTCCAGGGGTAGGTAGGCAGGTGCAACCCAATGCTAATGAATTTCAGTGACAATCAAGTCAGCTAAAACTGTTTCTGCCATCTTTTGTTCTTCTACAAGTAGACGAATGCCTGTGCAACAAATGAACAAATGAAAGTTACCTAAGCATGCAAATGTTCTAAAATGGTTTCCCCTTGCAGTAGCTGGTATTTCACACGTTTGGCCAAGCAGGAAACCATTCCAGAACCCCTCCGAAAGATAAATACCTCCAGGGGTAGGTAGGCAGGTACAACCCAATGCTAATGAATTTCAGTGACAATCAAGTCAGCAAAAACTGTTTCTGCCATCTTTTGTTCTTCTACAAGTAGACGAATGCCTGTGCAACAAATGAACAAATGACAGTTACCTAAGCATGCAAATGTTCTAAAATGGTTTCCCCTTGCAGTAGCTGGTATTTCACACGTTTGGCCAAGCAAGAAACCATTCCAGAACCCTTCCCAAAGATAAATACTTCCAGGGGTAGGTAGGCAGGTGCAACCCAATTCTAATGAATTTCAGTGACAATCAAGTCATCTAAAAAATGTTTCTGCCATCTTTTGTCCTTCTACAAGTAGACGAATGCCTGTGCAACAAATGAACACATGAAAGTTACCTAAGCATGCACATGTTCTAAAATGGTTTCCCCTTGCAGTAGCTGGTATTTCACACGTTTGGCCAAGCAGGAAACCATTCCAGAACCCTTCCCAAAGATAAATACTTCCAGGGGTAGGTAGGCAGGTGCAACCCAATTCTAATGAATTTCAGTGACAATCAAGTCAGCTAAAAAATGTTTCTGCCATCTTTTGTTCTTCTACAAGTAGACGAATGCCTGTGCAACAAACGAACAAATGAAAGTTACCTAAGCATGCAAATGTTCTAAAATGGTTTCCCCTTGCAGTAGCTGGTATTTCACACGTTTGGCCAAGCAGGAAACCATTCCAGAACCCTTCCCAAAGATAAATACCTCCAGGGGTAGGTAGGCAGGTACAACCCAATGCTAATGAATTTCAGTGATAATCAAGTCAGCTAAAACTGTTTCTGCCATCTTTTGTTCTTCTACAAGTAGAAGAATGCCTCTGCAACAAATGAACAAATGAAAGTTACCTAAGCATGCAAATGTTCTAAAATGGTTTCCCCTTGCAGTAGCTGGTATTTCACACGTTTGGCCAAGCAGGAAACCATTCCAGAACCCTTCCCAAAGATAAATACCTCCAGGGGTAGGTAGGCAGGTACAACCCAATGCCAATGAATTTCAGTGATAATCAAGTCAGCTAAAAACTGTTTCTGCCATCTTTTGTTCTTCTACAAGTAGACGAATGCCTGTGCAACAAATGAACAAATGAAAGTTACCTAAGCATGCAAATGTTCTAAAATGGTTTCCCCTTGCAGTAGCTGGTATTTCACGCGTTTGGCCAAGCAGGAAACCATTCCAGAACCCTTCCCAAAGATAAAACGTCAAGGTGCATTGTCTAGGGTGACATCTCTGTGCCATAGCTACCCAGCCCCCCCAAATATCCCAAAAGAACAAGTGTCCAGTCAGTGGTGTCCTGATGAAGGTAGGCAAACTTACCATTTTTTAAGTGACAGCTGGACAGCTGTAGTTCGACACACAGCTGCTTGCTGACTCCGCATGTGGTGATTTGTTCCTTGTTTTTCTCCTTTGACGCAAAAACATTACTGTTTTGAAAACACTGCATGTAGGAGTTTGCTGTTTTATTGAAAATTTATTTGGTTGGACATGTCTGCATAAATTAAACAAACAGTCGCACGGGAAATGGAACGAGTCCACAACTAAATTCGTTTGAAAAGGGGTGACTTAGGGGACATTCTGAAAGCATTTGGGTTCGGGTGTACCTTAATGGTTTGGCAAGAAAGGAAGCAAAGAGCGCGGGCAAAAACCTGGTTCCATAGGTAGTAAATGATACGACCATCTGTGGCCGGGCCGCCACCCATTGAAAAATGTTGTGGAGTATCATGGAGTGCTCTTTGCATTTTTTTTTTGATTCGCCTCATGTTGATCTATTTTTTGGGGGCGCAGATTTCCTCATCGTTTTTTTCCTGAAATGCGATGGTTTCAACAAGGTTTCTTTTGATGTTTTTTTATTTTTTTTAAGGGTGGAAGATACCATTTTAGAACCCATTTTAGAACCCAAAAACGGAATAGCGGCCAAGAATTTTAGGTTCTAAGACCCCCCTTGTAGATTCCATTTTAGAACCCATATTTGGGTTCTAAAATGGTCCCCAAGGGGGTTCGAAGCAACTTGAGAGGATAAATTTTCCACTCCACACTCCACACTCCACACTCAATTTTTTCCACTCCACACTCCACACTCTACACTTTACACTCCTCACTCCACACTTTACACTCCACACTCCACACTCTACACTTTACACTCTACACTCTACACTTTACACTTTACATTCGTCACTCAACACTCTACACTCTACACTCCACACTCCACCACGCTCCGCACTTTACACTCTACACTTTACACTCTACACACTACACTCCACACTTCACACTTTACACTTCACGCTTTCCACTTTACACTCCTCACTCCACACTTTACACTCCACACTTCACACTCTACACTTTAAACTCCACATTCCACACTCTACCCTCCACACTTTACCCACTGCACACTCCACACTCCACACTTTACACTCCACACTCCTCACTCCACACTCCACACTCCACAAACTACACTCCACACTCCAAACTCTACACTCCACACTCCAAACTTTACACTCCACACTTTACACTCCACACTCCACACTCTACACTTTACACTCTACACTTTACACTCTACACTCCACACTCTACACTTTACACTCCACACTCCACACTCTACACTTTCCACTCCACACTGCAGACTGGTAACAAGGGAAATATGTACAAGACTGTTCAAATAAACTATTGCAGAAAAGTGTTCTGCGTGACTGCATATCCATGTGTCTCGGCATCTGTACCATTGCCATACGTGTGAGCATTCGGGTTCGTGGGCTGCATCTTTATGTTTTTTTTGAAAAATATATGTAATTACAAAAATGCATGTACACACATATATTTGTATATATTTATTTTTGCATACTGTATGTATACATATGTATATATGTATGTATACATATGTATATATGTATACGGACATACATACATATATAAATGCATATGTATGCATTGCATATATATGTATATATATATATATATACATATAAATGCATTGCGCATATTTATATACACATATGTATGCGTTGCAAACATATATATATACATGTATGCATTTGCCATATTTATATATATATATACATACATGCATATGTATGCAATGCACATCTATCTATCTATCTATCTATCTGTCTATCTATCTATCTATCTATCTATCTATATATCTATACTATCTATGTATGCAATGCACACACACACACACATATATATACATACGTATGCAATGCACACACATATTTATATATATATATATACATATGTATGCAATGCACACACACACATATATATATACATACTTATGCAATGCACGCATATAGGCGTATATATATATATATAATACATGTACATCCCTAATGTTTGTTGGTCACACCCTTAGTCCGGGTGAGGCTGGAGAGGGCGCAGCTGAAGTTAGAGAGCTGGGCGTCGAATCACCGGAAGCGAGACCTCACAGGTCGCGCCTGGGGGCCATTTCATGGGGATTTCCACATGGTGATACCCTCTGGGAAACTGTCCCATAACTATGGGAAATCACCATTTTTAATGGGAAAATCCACTATTTCTATGGCCATGTTCAATAGCTATGTTAAATTACAAGAGGGTAATCATTGAAATCCATGTTCAACTTGGCGTTTGTACATGTTTGTACATCCTTTTTTCAATCTGAACTTCAGAAATTGCCGGTCACTCACTGGCTTTGGGGGCCAAAACCAGCAAAACATCACTAGTTCAATGGCAATTGCACCAGCAAGTGTGATGTATCGATATATATATATATATATCCCCATATAAATGGCTTGTATATGCTTATTACCCACTGAACCCATGGCATGCATATCCACTTCGGATGCTGCTAGGATGATAGAAACATGGTTGAAACACACCTTAAAACTGCATATGGAGACAAGAACTTGAATGGGAAACTTATGTGAGAGTCGATCAAAATCTAAGGATTGTACCTAATCATGCCCCATGGCCACTGTCGTTACACACAACAGGAGCTTTAGCGACAATTTTTTCTTTTGAGTTCGCGAAAGTAACATATTTATTCTGGAGGAAGAAATGGCGAAATGTTGGTTTCTGCTTCCCCGCAAAAGATAAACTGGAGCTTGCAAAAGGTTGGCAAAATTATATCTTTTTTGTGGCAACAAATTGCCAGTGGGACGAAAAAGATAGGTGAAAACCTATATGCATTAATTAGATCTTTTTTTTTCTATTTTTTCTTTCTATTTATCTATCTATCTAGCTATCTAGCTGTCTAGCTATCTAGCTATCTAGCTACCTATCTATCTATCTATCTATCTATCTTTCTATCTATCCATCTATCTACCTAGACCCTCCAAGCACCAATAAAAATGGTGTTTTACCCATGTATGCCTCTATATGTTCACCGTTTTTGGTGGTATTTCAAGGGTCTAGGTCTAGGTACGGTATAATAAGCAATGTTAACGTTCAAAAAAACTAGGAGAATAACCGGGGATTAAAATGGATGGAAGCCGAGAATTGAACCCACACAAAGAAAAGAAGTTGCCGGGAAAAGCTCACACCTAATGGCAATAGTCTGGAGCAGTTGAAGTCAGATATTACGATGTTGGTCCTGCCCTGGAGGCGCCTGAATTGCTGGAACGGTATCAACTTGCATCAAGCGTACACCTCATATTAAACACTTTCAGCCCATGGGTTCGGAATTGAACATAGACTACTTTCAATTCCATCATCATGAGTATTGCTGTTCCAACTGAAACGTTTACAGAATAGCCTAAAAACTATAACCATCACTGACAAGCTCCACACATTGATGCTACAAGCTCGCTACAAACCCATTTTTGGATATCATGTATGTAGTCAGGTATGGGGGGGCCGCCTAGATCGCTTAATTAGTTGGTTTAGTTCACTAGTTGCTAAGGGCCTGCATGGTTTATGTGTGGTAGATACATGGGACTAGTTAGTGGGCTGAGACTAAACCAACTTAGCTATCTAGGTCTAAATATATCCCTATCCCAGAGTCAATGAGATGTTGAATCAATGGGGATTTCAGGATCCTAAAATGGAGTTACTGTACCATATAAGGCAATATTTTGTGGGGATATTCCCTTACATAGGCCTTACATAGGCCTTATATACGGTAGGTACCTCCAATTTAGGTTCCTAAAATGGCCATTGGTTAAATTACAAAGACTTCACTGCGACGTTGATGGAATGATGGGAACTGTAGGGGTAGCTATCCCAAAATAGCCGTATTTCAGCTTCATTCAGGTTAGTGTTGTTTCGAACTCAGCCATATATCATTATGAAATATGATTGCCAAGTTATATATTAATTTACTGATTATATATTACTTTTGTGTATGCTTCGTTGTGCTATTTATATATGTGGTAAATAGATAGATTGATAAATAACTATAAAAATGGCTACAGCCATTTTGGCCCAAGCCATTATTGCTCGAGCCCTGGTTGCGAGACCTTACATGGTAGACGTGTGTACATTTGCATGTTCCTAATTTGCTTGCCAATAGATTCTTTGCCTTTGAGGAAACTCACATCATGCTTGGGGTATGCCTGACGTTTGGCGCGGAAACAAGACTTGCCAAAAGGACCATTCATCTTAGGTATCTGCTCGTGCAGGACGTCAGGGAGCACCAGCCTGCTGACCACACCCATGACACTGCTACGCAGATGATGAACAATTCCCTTCCCCAGAGGCGCGCAGTGCAAGAACAGATTGCGCGCCTTGCAAATCTCTTAAGACGCACCCAGGAGCAATCGGAGGCAATGGCCGAACGTTGCCGTAACCTGGAAGACAGGCAAACTCAAGTTCAACTGCAGGATGTCAGCTTTTCTAGTGCACCACCGGCTTCGGGTGGGGAGAGGCAGAGTGAGGTTTGTCAACGCGGTGGCACACAGAGTGCGGAAGCTTCTGTTACAACATCGTCGACGGACAGCGCAGTGAGAACCAGAGCTTCCCCGAATTATCAGGTTGACACAACAAGAACGGAAAGCTCAGATCATTGCACGACCCATTTGATGGGCAAAGAGATGCGACGAGAAGCTAGACGGTGTGAGCTGGAGGCTAAAGTCTTTGGACACTGATCGCCTTGATCGCCTAGTTGGCATTTCGCCTTCATGATTTGACTCCTTAGATCTTGTATGTACGGTTTCTCGCGTGTACTGTTGCATTCTTCTTGGCTTCATTTGATCGGGCCACCTGCTCGCCCTCAGCCTGACGCTGAACCTTCGGGATGGCGATGGGGAGGATAAAATAATTATATATATATATATATATCTATATATATATATATCTATATATATATATCTATATATAACATATATATCTATATATCTATCTATCTAATCTAATCTATCTAATCTATCTATCTATCTATCTATCTATCTATCTATCTATCTATCTATCTATCTATCTATCTATCTATCTATCTATCTATCTGTGTATATGTATGTGAGCGCCGTTCCAGGTTTGGTGGACGTGAGCGAGTTACCCAACATGGAGCTGCCGGGGGAGATTGCCACACGAGGTCTCTTCGAGGGTCAACGGAGATAAATCAACGGAGCATGGTCCCATGGTGACGGGATATATATATATATATATATATATTTATGGGGTTTCCATGCATGGGGACATATAGATATATGAAAAACATGTAATTATGGATATATATATATATATAGACAGATAGTTTACATTAATAATAATATATATATATATATCTGTATGTATGTATGTATGTTTGTATGGGTATATCATGTATGGATATATTATCCTCCCATGTAAGTCCATATAACTCCATAAAGTGGAATGAAAATCTCCTGATTTTTCAATGCCAGGTTGAGATGGATTGAGTCATTCTTCCAAAACCATCATGCCAGTTTGTAGCCATATGGGGGTGTTTCCTACATGGGGATACCCCCAGTTCGCTGGATTCATGGTGGACAATCGCAGTAAAATGGATGATTGGGGAGTACCACCATTTTAGGACACCTCCATATTTGGTTTTGGCGCTTTAAGCATTTGGTAAATCCATTGGCAAATCCACCTGTAAATCCTCCTAATGTTTTTTTTTTCCATTAGAAAATCCATGATGAGTGGGGAATCTGTGGGGAATAATATGGTGATTTTTTCATGGCCTCCTTGAGCGAATCCAAGTATATCTTGACATGCTCCAACAATTTGGGTTGGGAGCAGCCTTGAACATGGGGATATGGGGAGAATTGGGATGTATGAACAACATTGAACAACTATATACCTTAAGATTAGTGTTTTCTATAGTTGTTGGTGAATGGTTTGGAAACAACCAAATACATGTGGGTACAGAAGTGCAGAACGAACCATATACGGGAGTGTGTATATATATATAGATATATATATATATATATATATATGCATACATAATAGGATACAGTTTGGTTTTTTGATTCTGACCGCAAATGGGATTGGGGTTCCAAATTATGTCAAGTTTTTACGGGGGGAACATGATGATTGATGGATTTTAGAGTACCCCTTCTTCAGACAAACCCACCTCTGAAACGCTTGTTACACAAGCAGAATATGATTCAGAGCCCCAAATGCGCCAATAAATGTCAATAAGAAAATGTTAGTTGATTTTAATTGAAGTTCATATATATATATAAATATATATATAAACCATATTTTTTTAATAACAGGGTTTTGATGGACCGACTAAACGTGTGCCCATGCCGATCGATTGCCAGGATCCTATGGGCCCCAACCCAAAGACCGAGATGAAGAAGTTCCAGAGGAACCAGAGAAGACGCTGAGAAAAAAAACAGGAAAAATGGGAATTTGATAAGGAAAGTGGAGTTTCACCAGTTTAATCGGGAAAATGGATGAACATGGATGAAACTGGATGAACATGGGAGTTTGAACAGTGACAACTTGTTTGACCAATGAACAAGTTGGATGTATATCGCCGAAATGGGAGTTTGAGCAGTGAAAACTTGTTTTGACCAATGAACATGTGGTTTTATATCACCATATTTTCGTGCAGTAATTCAGTTTTTGTGGTTGATACTGCCAGCTGGACCCTTCAAGAATGCGGCCCTATGATTGTCCCTATTTCCTTTTCATTTGGATACAATTAAACCTTCGAGTGCAGGTCAAACCATTATTGATGGTTTCCTTTAAGGTCAGACAAAGAAACGCCTACGTAGCCTCATCCGCAGCCCAAAATGAGTGGTTGCCGCGGTTCATCCAGGGGGTTTGTCATCGTTTTCCTGGGATATCGAGGCCCGAAGAACAGGATGAGGATGAGGAAGTCTTCTACATCCGAAATGCCATGGGACGTTTCTTGGCGGGAAAAAAACGAGTGGCTGCCGTGGCAAATTAAAGGTCGGAGCTAAAACTGCTGAAATGGGTTGGTCTGAAAATAGCATACCCGGCATACCCCTGCATCCAGTGGCTCATGATTTTCCCTATTGGCATTGCTTTTTGGGGATCTACCCCATTTCCAGACCCAAATGGTACAGAATCTCTTGGCCAGAAGGATGGAGAAAACAGTTTGATGGATCCATAAACCATGGATCCACAAAACTTGGAATACCGTAGTTACCGTAGTTTTTATGATTTGTAAATTTATTGCAATGCAATTCTTGGTTCCATAACCCCCATGCTACTCAAATGGTTTCAACTATGTGTTTTCCCAAGGGTGTAGCAGTGTAGCCCAAAAATGACAAGTTCATGTTCCAATTCGTAAAAAAAAAACCTTTCCAGATCCAGGTCAGGTTTCTTGCCAGGTTTCTCCTGAATCATTCGCCACATTCTGAATGAAAAAATCTGAATGACCTGTGAGTGACATCCAGGAGTTGAAGATGAAGAGACCTCTGGGCCCATCTATTACATCAAGCGCATCAGGGACATGTTCAAAAGTTGGTTCTTCCAAGGGCACCTCGGCGGATCCCGATCATCCCAAGGCTTGGGATGCTGTTCACAGTTGGGCGCCCGACCAGATGGTGAACCACCTATGTTTAATGAGATTTTATAGTGATTTTATAGTGGTTTAATGGGATTTTATAGTGATTCAATGGTATATTAAGGGGATTTACCCTCTGGTTATGACTAACAAAAAGCGAACTTGAACATGGCCCAGTCGAAATAGGTGATTTATGGTGATTTACCCATGAAAATAGCATGGTGATTTTCCAGTTCGCTATGGGTCAGTTTACCAGAGGGTTTTTTTTGTTTTACTTATATCATCACATGGTTGTTGTCAGAGGCAAGTTGTTGTCATGATTGTGTACAGCACATTTCGGGAAAATCAAGTTCCGCACAATGGAGGGAATCAACGACATCCAACTCTCAGGGACTTCCAACGCGTTTCTTCTTTCATGCAGTAGAAGATGTACAATTTACATTAAAATCCTGGACATATTTATCTAAACCATATAAAATTACTAAATAGAAATTCACTATTGTGTTGCATGTTCAAGCGGTCAATACCATCTCTTTTGCCAGAATGGCCTCTAAAGAGTAGCTGAGTAGTTGGGCGGGAGGTGCAACGGTGCAATGGTTGGATCTCTTGGGATGGCCCAACAAAAAAAACGAACGCCGTTTGTCCGGAGCCGAGGGATCGAGATATGCAAGATACCTACTGGAGCTCCGGCATTTGCTGCTCGGACATGGCGATTTTAAGGGCGCTTGAAGTTTCGTTATCTGAAGTGACCAACAACCTATTTATGGTGATTTATGGTGATTTACCCATGAAAATAAGTGATGTGTGGTGATTTATGGTGATTTACCCATGATTGACAGTTTAGATCTTGCTTGAACCTTTTTGGAATTGTGGTGTGTTCGTGTGTGTGTGCATTTTCAAGGATCTCCGCAATTTGATATGACGACATATTACGTGACTTCAACACGTCAAGTACAAGGGCAAAACCAACAACACCTGATTTTTCAGTGAACTTTACCCAGAACCTAGAGAATATTGGGATCACCCATCGACAAAAGATCTATGATATAATTTACCATACAACATAGAATTCACCTAGATGTTTGGGAAAGCCAACTTAATCAGCTATAAATGCCAATGAAATTCATTTTTTTCTTGGACAATCCGCTATAAATCCTATTGATTCCCATATCAATACCATTAAAATCCATTAAATCCTTATAAATCAAATTAAATTCCCTATGATGCCCTTATAAATCCCATAAATTCAACATTGTTCCGCCTGATTTCGCTCTCACGGGCACCAAGGTCAATACATTGCCCGTAGCTCCACCTTCGAACACGCGACCATGGCCATGATCGCGGCCGCTGGGACCGAGAAATCCCTGAGTTTTCCTGCTGTTTTGACCGCAGGTTCCAAGATCAATGGTGACTTAGCTTACCCTCTGGTAAACTGTCCCACAACTATGGAAAATCACCATGCTATTAATGGGTAAATCCACTATTTCTATAGCCATTTTCAGTAGCTTTTTGTATGTTTACCAGAGGTTAAGCAAGAAAAATGGTGACTTAACCATGAAAAGCGCTGATTTAACGGTTAAAACACGTCATTTCATGGGATTCGATGGGAATACTTGATGGAATCAATGGACTACAATGGACAAATATGGGAAAATGATGGAAAATGGTGATGTAACCAGTAAAAAGGATCAACAAGGGTGATTTATTTTTTTGATTCATCCGTCAAACATCTAGGATTTGAAGGGATTTTTCATGGCTTCGCTTCCAATCTTCCCATCAAACTTGCAGCTGCTTGACGGGAATATCATGCACACATATAATGGGAAATCGTGATTTAGCATGATTTGGCCATTAAAGATAGTGATTTAATGAGATTTCAGCGGGCATATTTGATGAATTGATGACAATAGGAATTTTGCCATGAACAATACGGATGAATATGGACGTTTCAGACCAAAACACCCCTACTAAATGGTGAACATGTGGACATTTTCACATGTTATCTACTCCAGGAAGACTTCATAGTAATTTTACATATAGTTATGCATATATCTTTATATAATAATTCTATATACATATATGCATGTGTATATGTACATGGACAAGATATAACGACCTCGCGTTGCGAAGTCACTGGAAATGGTGGTTCGGAATTGAGGTAAATCATGCCGAAAGAATTGCTTTAATAGTGGGTTGTTTTTTGAATTTTTAGATGTATACTACTCTTGTATTCTAGTGTCTTCATATAAACATGTACATGTAATGTATGTATGTATGTATGTATGTATATATGTATGAATATGTTATTATAAATATAAATATACATATTATATATTATCTTTACTATATTCATTGAATTGAACATATATACATATATTTTTACATTATATGTATTTTAATATGCACTATGTATGTATATGGCATGTATATAGTGTATATATATATAGTATATATATATATAGTATATATATAATATATATATATATTGTATATATTATATATCTATCTATCTATCTATCTATCTATCTATCTATCTATCTATCTATCTATCTAATCTATCTATCTATCTATCTATCTATCTATCTATCTATCTATCTATCTATCTCTATATATATAATACTCATAGGTGTTGTTCAATTCCGTATGTCCCCAAGGCCAATGCGGTGTGGCTGGGCATCGACGTGACCTACAACACCGAGATTCTCTTGATCAACTCCGTTACCTATCCAGCAAATTCAATGGGATTTGACGGGATTTGATAGTGATTTCATGGCATTTTGGTGGTGCACAGTTAGCTCGGTTAACCGTGTTTTGGTTGTTATGTTTAAATAAATAGAATTATTAAATTTTACTATAATTAATAATTCCAATGTTTTTTGGTACATGGGACTATTACCCGATAATTTAATATAGTTATGGATCCGGTAATTTTATATAGTTATGGACACTCTCCCATTTTTAATAGGTGAAATAATGGAACTAAATGCATGGGTCGTTTTCCATAGCCATGTTGGTTTCAGGACAGATTTATAGGAAACTATATATATACATACATTAATTATGTATATATATATAATATACACTGTTTATATATATATATATGTGTGTGTGTGTATGCGTTACAGATATATATTTATATTTAATTATATATACACACATACAATATCTATATTGGCGCCCCAATGTTAGTGTTTTCCTGAATATGGATTTGTCCAAAACAGGGTAGACGCCAACATTATCCAAATTCCACTGATTAAGTTCATTTTTCCCAACGACAAAGAATCATGAACATGAATGAAGAAAAATGACAATGCACGCACGGAGGAATCTAAACGGTTTTATGAATTACCCACATAAAAAAAGATCAAGACCAATGATGAATTTGTGAACCCATTGCGTTTTATCACCTGAAAAAACTCGAAAAAGGGTAGCTCCAAATCTGGGGACGGTCATTCCCCTTGAAATCCTCACAATCTGGGTAAACCTACACGTTAAGGCGCTCTTCACAAACATGACGGTTGTTGTTTGCCACACGATTCCAGATATTCCAGACTTCAGGATGCTGACATTGACATAAATTGACTGTAATTTTAGTACAGCAATCATCAACCACCTATATGTATAAATTGATGTTTTTTTTTGCATCCATTTATGGTACATTTGCCGGTGGTGGATCCCATCTCCAGGCACCGGTCTTCATCATCATGGAGAACATTTTTTGCAGCTACTTCTTCTGCGAGGCGTCTGAAAAATTCTGAAAATGGGTTCAAGTTGGATCGTGAAGATCCAAGATGTTGCCACATCGGTTGGTCAAGGACCCAGTAATTTATCAAAAGATGTTCTCCAAGATGTAAGATCCAATATCGTATATAGATCATGAATGGCTTGGTCAAATTGGAAGTTTGTGAGCCGTTCATCACAAACAGCCCAGCTACACATTGGCAAATCCTTGGCGACTTGGAGGTCTTGGAGGTCTGAAGTTCGATCACTTGATCCTCACAACAAACATCGGATCTACATGAATTTGCCATAGGATCCATGGTGCTGGTATATATGCTAACATTGGAGGTATGTTGATGGTAAATGTTACCATATATAGCATACATGGATCCTATGGGTTTGCCATATCATCCATACCTATTTTTGAGCCATCCCAGTCAAATGTCATTGGCTGGCTAAGTTGCTGATGGTTTTCTATTTTCAGCCACTTTGGTTTGAGAATGTCCAATGTTGATGCAGCGAACCCGTTAACCTGCGCTAATTTTTCTTGGGAGAAAAGTTTCCTGAAGTGTTTCCGTGAAATCGCCTTTAAACTTTAAATGCTCATGATATTTGGAATATAAAGATTATAATGTCCAACGAGTCTTACCTAATGATAGCTATGGAAGCCAAGGCCCATCAAGGCGAATTTTTGCCTTCGATGATTTACCATGATTTACCTATTAAACATGCTGATTTGTCCTTGCAAAATTGTCAAATTACCCAAGGGATCTTCCGATGATCAATCATCACAATGGAACATCCCCTATTTATAGATAGGTTTCCCATTAAAATCTCTATTTCCAACGGATTTCCAGGATTTCCTAGCCAGCCACGTTTGATGACACCGGATGGTCTACTGTATACGGAACGGGTTGAAACCACAAAACCCGCAGATCGCGGTCCGTTTCGGAGCCTTCCGGAAGAAGTGTAACGTCTTCCGGGACTTCTGGCACTGCGGCTGAAGGGCTCGTTTTTTTTTCCGGGGAAATTGGGGTATCGGTATCGGTATATAGTAACCCCCAAAGGATCGAAAAATACGATCCTACTATCACTGGATTGGGTTAAGGGAAAATCTACAGGAAACCATCGTTTTTACCATCAAATATAGGGCTTTCCTGTAAATTTTCCCATAATCCAATTCTATGATACTAGATAGTGAAAACGTATTTTCTATTTTTTGATTCTGGTGCATATATTTACCTACAAAACTGGGTGATTTGTTGGGTATAAATGTTGGTAAATATTCCACATGGATGAATATGTGTAATTAAAGCAACCCCAAAATAGATTCCGAAAAGCTGGACACCTAGAATTTGATGGAGGAAACATCTTTCAACTAACATCCTGGAAACACATCTTTTCGGCATCCCTTTTGGAGTTACGTAGTGATTTCTCTGAGAGAGCGGTATCCCAAAACCATTGGGAAATCAAGTAGGTGGCCGGGCCGAGCCCATCGGAAACCCGTTTTCCCTGATTTTCCTCAGAACCTGCAGGTGGGGCTGGGAATAAAAAAACGAGAAGACATGCAGCAAACCGGACTATCTAAACCAGGATGTTATTGAGGGAAAAGCCATCGCTGGAGAGGCCGAATGGTTGGTTAGATGGGCCCCTATAGAAGCCCTGTTGGCTCATGTGCAGAGATATTTCCCGGTGGAGAAGGAGTTCTTGTGATGCCGATACCTTATTATCTATCGTAAAACCTAGTGTGCAAATACGATAGTGGAATGGGATCGGAGTTGGTCGTTGCTGTTTGATTGACATGACAGCGTGTTTGTAGCTGTGTGCCTGATCACTATGGTACGTAGTCTATGTGCTCTGACTTTCACTACCAAGATCTACCAAGAGTTTTACACTTGCATTATCTTTTAAAAATGTTAATGCATGTTATATAATGGTTGTTAATGCGTCCCGGGCAAACATGGTCGGACCGTGATTGTTGTCATATCAGTGAGGCGATATTCCAGCATATTTTGCCGATGGTGGAAATCTTGGTGATTCGAAGCCGAAACAAAAACATGCAACAAAAACGTAACTTGAATGTTTAACCTGGAATTGGGTTGGGAACACAATTTAATGACAGCATGTTGCCATATGTTGCGAGCATTTTGCAGTGTCATCTAGCATCATCTAGCATCATTTAGCTCTTTCGCCTGCCACTCCATGCGAATCACAGTGCGAGGTTCGTCTTTGATTTCGCATTGGTGTTGGCCATGGTTGTAGACACCTGGGCGCTGCTGATTATCATGGCAGCCTTAGCAGCTTGATTTCAAAACGCGTCACTGGATCGGTTGATGATGGTTTATGGGAGCATCTACTGTTGATTGTTTTGTCATGTGAATTGTCTTTAAGCCAAAATTTGGCGTTTCCTACAGATTTTCGCCATACAAGTCTGGGATTAAGAATCTTTTGAACATGATCGATTTGGCCGATGTTTCGTTTGCATTAGTCTTGTTTGAATGTCAGATGAGAAAATTCTGATGGGTATTCCCCCTAAATGGAAATGCTATAATATAAGAGGGACAGTGAATGAAAACGATACAGCATGATACAGCATTAAATGAGGCCTATGCAAAATTTATTTCATCCGCAAGAGCTCAAGGCTCGGCATAGAATTTCCCATGAATCGTGATACACCACCGAATATCCCTCAACCCCGCATTTCTGTTGGCAAGCGCCCACTGTGTGTTGAACATTTCATATGCATCCCTGAGTTTCACATATAGTGGATCTATAGTAACAGTTAGTAACATAACATATTTAGTTATAAACCATATGTGGTTATAATTATCCTATATATATATTTATGTATATAGTTACATCATGTTAAATCACGACTCACGACTATGTTTAATAAGTGTGCTGTTAAAATCTTAAAATTTGAGCGCCATCGAGCAAGAAATACATCCCCATGTTCATCCATGTTCAATGGTAGTTTCAAGCACATTATGTGCCTGGCAATTACCATACAGCTACCGACCCAATTTCTTTCCATGCTTTTGCCGCTTAAATCCAATTGTTTTGCTGGTTGAATCTCTGGTCTTGTTAGTTAAACCATGGTCAAGGCCGGTCTTACCAAGCGGAAACGTGTCCATTGTCCATCCCTATGTCCATCTGCAAATGGATTTAAATGCTACGAACCAGAGTTTCAAGCCCAATTGTTTCCTTATACTTGATACTTAGATCTTAATGTTTCATCATGTTTTCTGGCGAAACCAAAATTTAATAAATACAGTCTTCTGGTGAAAGCTTCCTTATTTCTGGTTAAATCCCGATTTTGGATGGTTAAATCCTTTTATTAATATTGTTTATTGTCAAGTAATGTTAAATCAATAAATTTGAAGCTGAAATCCTGACTTTTCAAGGTTAAATCGGTTAAATCCTTTTAGTTGTTGGATCCACATTAGTTGATGCTTAAATCGCGGTTAAGTATTTTTTTTTAATGTTAAACTTGTGTTTGGAGGACACCAACGTTTACGTCATCAACTCATCCTTCCTCCGCATGCTGCGCATCATCCGCATCTCGCGGCTGGCGCGCGTGGCGCGCATCATGCGCTCGGTGCCTGAAGTCATGAGCCATGGCGGAGATGAGCCATGGGGATCATGTTCATGTTAACCATCATCATTAACCACTATTAACTATCATTAACCACTATCATTAGTCAATTAATCACTGGTTGGTGGTTAATAGTGGTTAATGATGGTTAATACCTGGGTGATGAAACCATGGTTAATGATGGTTAATGGTTAATGATTCCCATCCAAGAAACTGTTCTGGTTGGTGGTGACTGGAACATGTTTTTTTTTCCATAAATGGTGGGAAATGATGGGAAACTGGGCGATTACCATGATTAATGATGGTTAATGATGGTTAATATTGGCAAATAGTTGTTAATTAACTGGTTGGTGGTTTGGAACATGACTTTGATTTTTCCATATATTTGGAATTTCATGATCCCAACTGACGAACTCATATTTTTCAGAGGGGTAGGTATACCACCAACCAGATCACCATTTGTTGGTAATTATTGGCTAAATCACCATTCATCACCATTACAATCATTAGAACAAAAACCATTGGTGGAATGCTTGAGGCATAATATGGCATAATCATAACGATATTACATCATATTGTGGATGGGCCAGCGGAATCCTGCACCAGTTGAAAACGATGGCGCAATTATCCCATTACTTCTAGGGTTTCAACCATCCTCGATTGGTGGCGCAGGATTTCTGAACCATCCACAGTAGCTATTGAAATGGCCTTACCTTCAAACATTATTAAGCATAGTTATGGGTCATGAGCAATGTTAGTACTTAAAGCAGTAGGATCCACCATCCCCAAATTTACCATACATGGATACTATAAACCATGAACATATGGGTGGTTTATTCTTGCTTAACTTTACTGGGCAAAATTGTTTAGACCTGTGGAACCTTAGTCATGGCTTAGTCCATGTTTAGTAATTATCAACCATCCAATTATTGAGGTACCCAATTTTGACCCCCATATTAAATTGCCAGACAACAATGTTTGTTGGGAAAAGGATGATAAACCATGAGATTTGGGGACCCAGCTTTCATGTGGTTGGCACAAAAAAGAAAACAAAGGCTGATTCTTATTGGCTGCGTCCCGATGTTTATTGGGTGTAGGATTTCAATTGCTTAAATACGCACATAATAGCATTTATATATATATGTATATGCACATATATATATATATATGTATTGTGATTTCCATTTGTGCAAGTACCATGCGATCCCTTGGGTTATCTCCAGGTCCAACAATAACCACTTGATGATGTTCAACCGCAGGTGTCAAGGCTCGGATTGCCTGGCAGCGGGAGGGTGGGATTTGTCCACCTTAGAGCCTTAGCTTCGGTGCACTTGACAGCACAGGGTGCTGCATAGGTTTTGGACGCGGCCGTCCTTCGACTTTGATGCAGAGATTTCAGTGTTGCGGCAGGGCAGAAAACATAGACAGTGCGCTCCCATTTGGCTGGGTGAAGGGGACATTCATTGGACAGGGTTTCATACAGTTTCCTACATTCAAAGCCTGATCAGACCACTGCAGTTCCAACAGAGAGTTCTCTACCATTTACATTGGTAGCGGAGCTCCGGCTCTGACTACTAACAACAGCCTGTTTTCCAAGCCGAAGAAGGATCCAGGGAAAACAACGTGATGGCTTCCACATCAGATGGTGAAGGCGGACGGACCGACACCGGAGTTAGTACACAGCTTACTACTTTGGTCCCGACGTTTGACCCATCGAAAGACAGTCTGCAGATCTACAAACAGAAAGTTGAACTATTGCTCGCAGCATGGCCGAAGACGAAAATCACAGAGCTGGTGATGAGGCTTATCCTTAATTGCCAGGGCAGTGCATTCTCCAAACTCCAGTTGCACCAGGCCGAGCTCATGGAGAACGATGAGAAGAGCGTGGGAAAGGTGATTGAATTGCTTGGGGGCCATTGGGGCCGCATAGGACTGGAACGACAGTATGAAGAGGCTGAACAGGCACTCTATCACACAGTTCAAATGCGAGATGAATCGAACGACAGCTTCCTGGCCCGAGCTGACATTGCCTGGAGCAAGTTCCTGGCGCAGAAGATCTCAATGCAGGACCTTCAGGCCTTTGTGATGCTGCGGGGTTCAACGTTGACCCCGGAAGAAAAGAAGAAGGTCATCCTGGAGTCTGACAATAGCCTTGAAGGGAAGTTGACAGTAGGCCGAGTGTCAGAGGCAATTCGAATCCTAGGTGCCACGTTCTTTCAGGAGATGACTGGCCAGAAATCAACCAGTAAACAAAAGGTATACAGCTCAGCTACTCTGGTGACAGAACACGATGATGAAGAAGATCAGGTATACCATGCTCAGGAAGATCAAGGCGAGGAAGAGTTCATCGAAGCTCTTTTGAGCGAGGGCGACACAGATGCGGCTTTGGTCTCAGATTTTGAGGCCGCAGCCAATGAACTGCTACAGGAAGACAGTGACCTGGCCGCAGCTTACAGTACGTACACTGAAGCTCGTCGTAGATTGACTGAGAAGTTCAAGAATCGAGGGTTCTGGAACACAAGCCGTCCCAATCCATCACAGTTCAAAGGCAAGGGTTCTTTTGCCAAAGGTGGTGGAAAAGGGAAAAATAGCTGGAATCAGAAGCCCCGTAGAAGCCTTCAGGATCGAATCTTGAACTCTCACTGCAGAAACTGTAACAGAAAGGGTCATTGGAAGGCTGAGTGTCCTTTCAGATCATCTGGATCGTCAATGCCAGGGACACCATCAGGTACGTCCACGTCAGCCGGAAGCCAGCCAACGACCACAGTTTCAGTTGAGGGATCAGAAGACATCATGCCCATGGAGTTTTTGCACCTCCCGACTGTAGGTGAAGAGCCAATAGATGACACTGTGCCAATTTTGGTAAGTTTTTGTGAATCTGGGGCTGGTAAGGGAACTGTTTTTCCTAAGATGATTCAAGGGGAATATCATGGGGATAATGGGATCCATAGTATTACCAAGCCAACCGCAAAAGCCCGTTTGCAATCATGGGGCCTCAGGAGTGAAAGCCATGAGCCCCGATCGAATGCCGATGTTGCCTGCACACTGAATAGAAGCTTTTGCGCTCCGAGAGGGAACAAGTCTCTCTACCATGCCAGATTTCCGGAACATCAGCCTGATGTCCGTTCCGTGCCGGGGGTTCCATCAAAGACGAAACCGACTATCCTCATGTCAGAACAACCGGAAAGTGCCACTGCCTGTTTCGCATCGCATGGGTCACATGGAATCCTAGATCTAGGTGCCTCGAAGACAGTGATTGGTAGCCAGCACTTAGGTGAGTTAATTCGCAGCCTGGACCCAGACATCCGCCGACAGCTATCCCGGTGCCCATGTAATATTGTGTTTAAGTTTGGTAACCAGTCCACTTTGACAAGTTCTGAAGCCTTGGTTGTGCCCATTGGTTCACTCAGATTAAAGGTGGCTGTAGTCCCAGGTGGAACACCATTCTTAATTAGCAATACGTTGATGCGGACGTTGCGTGCCACGATTGACTGCGCAACCCAAACATTGTCCAGTGCCCAGATGTCGAAGCCGATTTCACTTCAATTAACTGCCAAAGGGTTGTTTTTGTTGGATATCAATGAGCTGATCAGGGCAACCATGGATAATGCCCACACTGGCCGAAGAGCCAGAACTGAGGGTTGTGCCGAGACTTTCATGTCCGAAGAGACCGCTGAAAAGAATGACCTCCAAAAGCCGCCGACAGTAGACCACGCCAATGCAGCCAAGATCAAAAGTCGTGATGAGGCAGGTCAGGTGAAGAGTCATGTCCACTCAGGTGAAGAAACCAATAATCTTCAAATGTCTCAAGAACCAGATCGACCGACAGCCACTGATCAGGCAAGACCGTTTGCAAAGCCTTCCGAACTAACTGTCCCGCCGTCCAGTCATGTCGCTGTCGCAGAGACTCCGCCAGTTGCAGGTGCAGTCAGTTGTGGAACCGGTGGCAGTAGACCACCTCACCCTAGAGGAACTGTCATCAGAGGTGGTGACATTCGGGCAGAAGTTCAACGGTCGCACCTTCGAGGACACATGGCAGGACCAAGAGTGGATCCAGTTCATGATCAATCGCTATCAGAAGAGTCAGAAGGAGTCCCACAGGCGATTCATGAAGTATGTGGAGCTGAAGGTAGAGGCTCTGGAACAGAACCAAGGGGTGATTCCCCGAGGCAGCCAAGGGGGAGGTCTCACTCGTCCTCAAGCCAAAGCCAAGGCCACAGCCAAGTCCCACGCTGCTCCTTCTCTCATCTCTTCGCTGGGAGAGAGCGACTGGGACATTCCTTCCGAGATGTACGAGCCAGCGATTATGGATCATCGAGCTCTTCCAGCCTCAGAGGACTGGATGGCGATGCAAGCTCGCATGTTGAACATGGAGAACGCATTGACAAGAGTCATCCAACATCTGGAGCAGCAGACCAACCCGGAGCAGATCAATGCCGAGGACCAGGACCAGTGAGGGAGGACTGGGATGAATCAGTGCTGACCGCCATGCACCATGAAGCAAAACACATGAAACAGCTCATTCAACAATTCACACAAGAACTTCAAGAGATCACCAACCAAACCACACCCATGGGGAAACCTTATGAACTTGGTGAAGTAATGTGCAGTAGCAATTCTCCTTTGACACATCAAATGCTTCGGCTAGGCAAGTCAGCGTTCCGCTTCGGATACATGCAAGGGGACTTAGCCCAAGCATCCGGTAGAAAGGAATTGTTCCGGTTGATGGCCAGGCACCGACCAACTCATGTCTGGTACAGTCCCACATGTGGACCCTGGTCAGCATGGTCACAGCTGAATGCCTCCAGATCCATGCAACACCACGATGAGTATGAAAGAAAACGTTGTGATTTGCTGTATCAACTGGCTTTGGGAATTGTTTTGTATCGGCACCAAGTTTCCCTTAGTAAGCACTTCCACTGGGAACAACCAAAACGGTCATTGATGTTTCAGACACCACTTCTTGCGGAAGTTCATGAACATACTCAAGCCTGCCAGTTTGACATGTGTAGAGTTG